TGTAAGACGAAATTATATAGCTGAAAGCTGGTTTCAAAGGTGATGTTTTTTTGGAATATAGGGATTGGAGACCATTAGCTAAAGGTGATGTCAGTGGAAAGGAAGTTGATACAGAATCTAGCAACTCTGCTAAGCCACTTTTGTATGTCCTTTGCACGACTGCATGCGACCACAAACAGCTAACTCGACATATTGGAATCAGCTGGACTATTAATTCTGCTCCCTCCACCATACTAGTTGGGCATCTTGCAAGCCCACTACCATTATTTCGAATAACTTCCTGCATAGTGATCCAAAAAAGACCACACCAAAACGGATTTCAAAGACTTTGGCCTCAGAACGTCGGAAAACAGAGCTGCCGGCAAGAGCGAAGTTGCATCCGAATAGAAAGAAGAAAAAGAACTCTACCTTAAGCTGGTATATGAGTCTAAAGTGAGTGAATCCAAGCGAATTTTCTTTTCGACGCAATAAAGAGCGTTCAAAACTTTTACTTCATACACTCTAACAAACCATAATGGCGAACTCACGCTTGAGTTGGATCTGTAGTATGCTTCGCTAATGCTTCTTTTAGGAATTGGTTTCGCATGCTCGTGTGACCGTGCACATGCTTCTCGAAGTCTGAATGCTAATTTTTCACCACATCAGTAATGATAAACAGCGCAACACCAAATGCTCACAAATGAAACCATCGCTCTTTCTCTCGAGCAGCTCTCACAAACAGGTAGATCGATCGCCCCTTGGTACGACAGCTAGAATGACCATCAGGCAAGCTCACAAAATCTGGCATTTCGCTTAAGGAGCTTGCACGCCCGATGCGAGAACGCTGCTGTTCATCTTCGCTGTCACTGGTGTCTGTTTCGGCGGCATAACCATCATCGGAAGCCATTTCGCCTGCCATTGGTAGATTATCCGGTGCCGACTCCACGGGATGCATTGAAACCGATCTGTTACGTTCGCATAATTTAATGATAAAGGTTAGATTTAAGGAAAGGTCAAAGAGGGAGTTATAAACCTCGACAATGGCTTAGACAAATCAACATCTCCTGGTTTCTTCGCAAACTTTATGTAGATTGGGTACTTGCGACTCCACCATCGTCGTTTCGCCAGCCGTTTTGGACGTAAGGACACCTTAAATAGTGAATCAGTGTTGTAGCTCAAATCAGAATTTCACTTTCAATCAATACACAGAAGGAGAATTTCATTTGTGCAAATACAAACAATCGCACTTTCGACAAAGTCTTGACCAATAACTATTTACTGACAGCACCTCAAAACTACATGAAATACTTGTCATCAAAAAATTTGATATACGGAAATGTACTAATACGATCAACCTCTACGAAGAGTGAGCTACATAAAACCTATCACCCAAAAAAAATCCTGAGCAAATTCAAAGTCAACTCGCTGTTAGTCTCCAAATTAGCTGGCAGGTAAAAATGATATAACTTTATCAATGAAACTCGCAGTTTACTCGAGTTTCGATGGTTAGGCTACAGGGTGCTGTTAGAGGATTAGCAGAGCTCATTTTGTCGTGGAGAACTTATGGAATAAGCATTGCTATACCTGTGTCTCTGTTCCTTGCTACAATCTTTACCTGACTTTAGTTGTGACTCGGAGTTTACTCGCAAATTT